GACGACAAAGTTGAGTCGGGTGACTATCATATTCAGCTCTTCTCCTTCTTTTTTTTAGATCTGCAGTTCATATGCAATTTCCCGTTCTTTTTTCTCATTTTTTCTTCCGGTTTTTTTTTTCATCTTCTTCAATGCAATTGCTCGATCGTCAGAATTACTAACCTAGCTGTTATCGTCTGACCGTGGTTATTGGCTGCTATATTCGCGGAGGCGATATAAATTATTACCACGTTTCGCGGTACAGGGTTCGCTTTACCACTTTTACGATGACTGCGGACAGCTTCGACCGCTTTCACTGACATAAGACAGTATCGAGGGAAAGGTCAACCTCCCCGAGCACCATGTAGGTCAAGCTAAATCCTTGACTAAGAAGATTTAACATTAACCCTTTTGATCGCAGTGAGTTCTCTTCTCACGAAGCATTTGTCGGTTGTCTGAACTTATTCCAGATAATACTATATAGGTGACATTCAACATGTTCTAAATTTAAAAACAAGGTTTTTATTTATGAGAAAAATTTGCACTAAGTAAATGTGTTGAGAAATGCAAGATAAATATAAAATGATGATTTATTCTTATTTTTATTCGTTTTCCGACGTAAAATCTCGCATTGCGTTAAATTGAAATCTGTAAAATTAAATAAGAAGTTTTTTTCTGTTATGATAACATTGAGCACTGTATATCTATATGACAAGCGTTATGTTATCATAAATCAAATATTTAGTTCAGAAGTTCTTAAATGAAGTCAAGGAGTTCCGTTGGTCGAGTTTCTGAGTTTTCCGCAGTTTCCCGTCATTTTCATAGAAAGTCATTATTCCACAGATTTCTAGTTCTTGTTTTTTTTTTTTTGTTTTTTTTTTTTTTCAGAAAATTTTGACACGTCGAGTCGCCGAAAAACTTTTTCGTGAACAGTTGTCGAGATTACAAATAAATTTTTGTCGGTTCGTGACAATTTCCCGTTTCAGCAAATAGCTCTTGTGAGCAAAAACGTGTTTCGTTTATCGCTCAACGCGTTCCGCCGTTATCTATATTGTTCTGCGATAAAAATACTCGGACTCCGGAGAAACTACTTAAATTAAATCCAGTTTCCTTCCGAGTGGACACTGGACATACGTACTAACACAAAGTTGCTCTCGTCCAATGTAGCTTTTATAAAAGCGAAAAGAAAGACGTGAGAAACAATTTCAAACAAATTGAACTCACTGTTCATACACTCTGTGTATTTACTCGAGAATATTAAAAATTTATTACACTAATTGATTTGGTTCGCAATATTTATTAAGAAAGAATAATTACCAGCAACATGTTTTTATGTATCAGGTGTTAATTGAGGCAATTTATTATTGGCTTTATACACATGAACATAAAAATTGTTAAAAAGTGGAATATCGTAAAAAAATTTAACGCAAAAGAAGCTTGAATAACGTTATCGATATGTGCAAATAAAAATCTGCACGCTGCTTTATATAAGCTATCGACCGTTGTATCTAACTTCGACAGAGGAATACATACTATCCTTTGTGCGAACTGTTCGGAAAGTTAATTGTTTTTGTTTTTTTGTAGCTCGTTACTCTTTTACGTGAGAAATGTTATTTATTTATAATTTGTTATATGTCATTAGGGTTTGGAATTAAAAAAGATATGCTAACAATGCAATCTTTCAAAGAGTTGATGAATTTAAACACACATTGAGATATAAATTTACTTTTGGCTACGTAATTTAGCTAATATTCAAATTTTTCTAATGTTCTGACTTTCACCTTTATTGTATTTATAATCTGTCATATATTGAAAGAGTTTATATCAACTTTATTTCAGCCTTGGCACTTGTGTTTTTTGTGTAAAAAAGTGTCAACACAGTCCATCCCATGATACTTACAATTAGTCTCACAGAGTGGTCTAATATCAATCTGGTGTAAAAGCTTTTTTGAAATTAATTGAAAAAGTATGTTCTTTTTAATTGATATTCGCGAAACGGATTTCAAAGTTTTTGACGAAAAGCGATAAAAACTCGATTTGTTTCTCTGTATTTTTCGGCCAGAAGTGCAAGCGTCTCTTCAAAAGTAATAAAAAAATTTTATAGAGAGCGTTGCAATAAAATACATGTATGTCGAAATTATTCAGTTTTAAGCGAGAGCGATTTTTGTAAACATTATCGTTCTGCTAAAGACTCTTAGATTGTTTAAGGCTAGTAGGTATTTGTCGTGCGACAAAGATTTTAAGTATATTGATTGGCTATCAAATAGAGTTCTTTATAAAAAACTTTATCTGATAACCAATCAACATATACTTAAAATCTTTGTTGTACGACAAATGTAACATTAGGCTAAAGAGGTACTGATATCGCGGCGAAAAGAAGTGGAAATGTCATGATGCACCCAGCGTTTCTCCCACATGACAGACAATGCTGAGCTCAGCGTTCAGTTCGCGATCGATATGTCATGAACTGTGTAGACGCGATGTCTTGTGACGAGATCTCTCTTCTATCGTTGTGCCCCAATGCTGTAACGATATCGCTATTGTGACATAAGGCTATAATGATATCGCTACTTGCGCTGTGTAAGGAAATACCCCGATATATATGTCTATCTTGCCATAAATCTTTCACAGAGAAGACCTTCATTTCTTGATGTTAGAAATTACATTGCGTGAGGCTTTTCTTTATTATAAAATATTTATATTTATCATGCAGATACGTATACATATTCTTTTTTCTTATTTTTTACTGTCTTTTCCTACACATCTGTCTGTGTATCTATTTGTTTATCTCTATCTTTATATTTCTTCGCAGATGTAAAAATGCGGATGTTATACGATTTCTTCGGCAGAAATTTTTCAAAATTTATATGTCTTGCTCTTCTTTATCTATAGTTTTTCTTTTTTGTTATACGAGAAATAATATTATATTCTGACTTGCATTTCCGCAGCACGTTTAATTAAACGAGATTGCTTTTCTATCACGGTGCTTATACGATCTTTATATGAGGTGAATAAACTATTATCGTGTGCCACATTTAACGCTTAATGTTCCATTCTATGTCACGAACTATTATAGCTTTAGCGCTGTTACGCGTGCTGTACTCGTTCATTAAATATCAAAATTTCTAAGTATTTATTCATATAAACAGCAGCAAAAGAGAAAAGAGAATAAGAGATGAAGGTGCGTGTTACATTATGATAGATTCACGTTAAGAAGACGCATTTTATTTATGTAATCGGGTACATTTAGTGATGAAATAACGCGAATAATATTCTTTTGACATTATATTCAACTACCACACGTTCATATAAAACTTTTATCGGAATTTTTCAACAAAAATTTTATTGGAGTTATAAATGTTCTGCTATGTTTTCCCGTCGTCTATGACGCCATGATGCTCGTAAAAACTCCCTTGGCGCACAGAAGAGAATTCTCGGCAGGTCTCAGACAGACTTTTCTGGAAACTGATATCCATCGCATGCATACGTGGCAAGTGTGCGCTGTGCGCACACGGGGTGCCGGTTTCTCATCGCGAATTTCTTTTTGCCGTGTTTCGGAGTTTCGTGACACGGATAAAAGCTCGCGAAAAACGCTCGATAACGTGACAAAGAATGGGCGGATACTCGGATGAGCAACGTTCGACGATGAGAAACGAGGACTCCGAGACTCTTAAAGACTTGTAGTCTTTTTATGGTCTAGAGAGAATGTGAGAGGAAAGAAATCACGTTTAATCGTTAACGATTAGAGCGAACCGTTGAAACAGTATATGTGTCGAATATTCCCGCGAAATATCTGCACCGGCAATGCACCGGTGTTTGTAGCAAAGCTAATGATTTTTACTCTATTCCATCTAATGCTATTTGCATTTAATGTGCGACGCAATGTTACAATTTATATTCCGTGGTAATATGGCCTATGTTTCACATTTTGCAACGTAATTATTTTACAGAAAAACATCATGTGTAGGACGCGCAAAATATTCAATTTAAATAAAAACAAAATTTTCACATATAACAGTGCAATGTATTAAAAAAATAATAATAAAATGTGTGATTGTTGAATAGTATTTTAAACAAAATTCTTTGTTACATGTGAACAAATTCTAAATCTGGTGAAATACATGACCATGAGATCGTTTCAAACTTTTATACATAATTATATAAATTATGTATAACTATATAGAATTTATTTACACACAAAGGACTTTTTTTCTGAAATAGTAGTTATTTAATGAGATGAAGAAAAAAGTGACATAGATATTATATAAACATATATAAAAATATAAGATCATCGGTAATAACAGTTCTAGAAAGTTTTAGTCAGGAAATGTTTAAATGTGCAATTTCAATGTACTTATAACTGACATATTTCTCAAAGTTTTATCGAAAAATACGAATCAAATATTGGCGCCGTTCTATCGACATTAACAACGAGAGAATTACTGCTACGATAGCCAGACAAATAACTTGAGCAAAACAAATGTGTAATTTGATGCGTGATTATTTTCTCTAATGGAAACTGTAATTTTCTTTATAAATGCATGGTCTTTTTATATTCTAAAGTTATTTATGTTAAAATATTCTTTAATATATATTGTAATTTCTTTAATGAATCAAATTAAAATTCAAAATCAAAGGTTAGTAAAAAGTCCAAATTAGTTATTAGATATTTCTTTGGAATGAACTAAAATATTTTACTTTTTGATTGTTGTTGTATTACGATAATAAAGAAAAGACAGAAAAAATTTGATTGGAATCAATTTTGAAAAATTATCTAACAGCTTTCTAGATGAAAAAACAAAGATAAAACGATAATAAAATATACTGATAACTCTTTTCATACCAAGCAGCTACTTTTTACAGAAAAAATATTGACATAAAGTATATATATATATATATATATATCTTTCTGTCGTATATATATTTTGTGTAGTTTACACAACTGCCGTAAAGAGTTACAAAGATCATGAAGGAAAAGACATGAAGGAAATAAGTAAGTGTGTGATTCCAGTCTAGCGCCATACATCATAAAAAGAATTTTATTTAATTCCACTGTACAGATGCTTTTCTGTAAGATGGCTGCTTCTCTCTTATGTTCCTATCTTTGCTCGTCTTTGCTCACAACTTTAATGGCATCGCAGCTGACCTGAAATCAAATTGAATATTTTTCTACGTCAATAAATCTTTTGATGTTTTCGGTTGGTCGCTTTTCGCAACTTCGTTCGATTTTCTTTTAGTAATCTGAAAACACACATTTGAATCATCGATAATGTTTTTATAGAAAAAAATGTTGATCTTTCATTTTCTCCATATTACCATAAATATCGCTCTTCTCAGAATGTTCTCTTACGTTTTTTGTAAATTTACATATTTTCGCATTTGTGATATATTGAAGTGAAACAAAAACAATTTTGTCTAGAAAATATCATTTTTATTTTTATTTAAAGAAAATATCTTAATACGTGTATGATACATTTTGTCAATAAGTCTTGAATCATAAAGTCTCTTAAATAAAACAAGATATTTTTTAAAATATTACAAGATATTTTTAAAACTCATACAAATAAATTAAATGTTTTTAACAAGATCAAGAAGCGTAAAATATGAAAAATATAAATATATCTAAAAATCTCAGAAGATTCTTGATTATACTTGCCGGTTAATAAACATGCAGATTCCCCAAACAGACTTCAGGAGGATCTATGGTAAAGGAGGAATTACTGTCGTATAAATCAGAGTGGGATTTTGTGTTTGGAGGTAAAAGAAACGATATAAAATAAGGAGTAAAAGAGCGAGGAATGTAATAGAATGAAAAAAGCATGATTTTTTATTCCCAACGATGTTGAGAAAAACACATTTTTGATTAAAGTTATCATAATTAAGGATGCCTGTTTCCATATAAAATGTACTTGTTTTATTTATCTTGTTTTATCAATATTCTCTTATTAATTTATTACAAGTTTATATTTACTTAGAATTGCATACGATATACGATGTTATCAATTTTCATCATGTGTTTCCCAGGGCGGTGTCTTTTGTCATATTTTTAATATTTTAGTTGACACACCTGCTGGTAATATATCTTTATCTTAATTTTGTTGAAATATACGCGGCTCATAAAATGCGGTTATCCGCTCTCTAAATTTAAGCAGTCGCGTTATTAGATGAAACATGAACAGGTGCGTTAAATATAATGAATATATGAGGAAAGAACAGTGCGATAAATATCTTTCCTTGTTTCATGTTTTTTTAAATACTATTATCTTCTCTCTCTCTTTCTCTTTCTCTTTCTCGTGCTCTGTTATATAATTGTCTTTTTACAATCGGTTTGAATTGTGGTTAAATTATTGTAACATCCGTAGCAATACATTTTTGAATGTAATTGTGTTAAATACATACAAATAGAAACTAAATGGTAATTAGACTTATATACATAGTTAATATAATTAATGATAGTTATTATTAACTGAACTATGTTGAACCTCATAATTTTATCAGAAAGTCACAAAAGAAAACGAAGATAAATTACATTTAATCGTAATCAATTAATTTAGCACAATAAAAGTGGTAATTTCGCAGCGGTTGAAGCGCGAGCTGCTTGAATAAATATTTCCGAGGTTGCGCGGAATTCTATTTAACATTCGCTACGATAGTAAGAATTCCGTTGCTTTTATAATGCAATCTGAAATACTTTACAGCACGTCTGGGAATTCGAATGCGGGATGTCAGTATCTCGAGAAGAGAGTTGTTTACGATTGTGCGGGAGCCAACACACTGGGTTAAATCGAATATAACGCGGTATCGATATAGCGTATGTTACACGAGCGACGTCTGCGAACGACATCGATTATCTGTACGACACAAGGAAAATTGAACAAATAACGTTTCTTGCATTCAGGCGGATCATGGCCGATAAAGCTCAGCAATTTCTTCATGTAGGTAGAAGAAATCGTCACGCGCCCGGGAAAAGTGGAAAAGCGAGTAGCGAGAGAAAAACAGATACGAAACGAAGCTCGTTTCCTTTATCTCCTCGCAGACGATTCTTGGCTGCACCTTCTTTTCTTGTGTGTGGGAAAGAAGGTGTTGTTTATAGGAATCCCTGATACGGTCTGCAGTGTGTATGCGTGTGCACATTACATTCTGCAGGCTGGATGAAGTTACTTGTGTTCCGGAGTCTCGAGTCTTATTGTTAGATCCTTGAAAATTGCCAGAATCATACTCGACGACGCATGTAGTGTGAATTTCTGGAGACTAGATTAGTTCTCCTCAGAGATTAGTTCTGGAGAATGTGTTGTCAACGAGCGGTTGCGCAAACGAGAATAAAGAAAAAGATAATTTTGAAAATGCTAATTTAGATACTGAGGAAAGCTCTCTAGTTTAACTTGGAGAATTATCAAACTGTTTAATGCAAATTTCAGAGAAAATGAGAAAATGAAGTCGCATGAAGAGTAGTAATATAGATCCTTAAAGAAACATTTATGTCTCTTGCATGTGATCGCGTTAAATTTTTGTTGATTTACATTTTCTGACTTTTGGAAAGGAATATCCTGATGTTGTTTTATTATGATTAAATTAATTTTACTATTACATTACTCTCAAGATTACTAATAAATAATGAGATATTAATTGATTACTGGATAACTACACTAACCGTCTACATACGATTAATTTTTAATTAACGTGTAATTAATGTGTTGCAATGATGTTAATGTCTATTAATATGACGTAATGATTATACGCGCTTATGAACACTAGCGGATGTAAAGTTTGCTGAAACGCATATAATTAAAAATCAATTAAATATGCTAATTAAATCATAATTAGAATAGAGATCCTTTAATTGAATTTCGGAGAGGAATAAATTCGCCTATTTAATGGTTTCTCCGTCGTTTTGTTCTAGGATTTCACACCTATACGTTGAACGAGAGCATGCACACGGAAAGGGAGGAGGACGAAATCCTGACAGTGAAATACGAGGATGGCAGATGGTCGAAACCGTATTACGATTGCGGGGGTGGCAATATCTGGATGCTGACCTACACCGTACCCTTCTTCGGATACGACAACGATACCTACTTTTTCAAGTGAGTACGAATTGCTTTTTGTCATCAGAGTAATTGACCCTTTCGTTAATAATACCGAGAATACTTCAAGTAGAGACCGCGCACGTAACAGAAAATAACGTTAAGACCTACAGATCTTTACAAATGTTGTCTATTGTTGTTTATCAGACGAATGTGTCGTACACAGATATTCTATATTTTGTTGTTTAGCTGAATGCATTGTACGGGTGATGTGTTTGATATTTTTTGTTTATCTGAATATATGTATATTTAGAATACATATATGTATATATATACATGAATACCCAGATAGGATAAATAATTTCAAAGTTTAATAATAGAGGATTTATTTCCGTGCGTGCAATGGAAAAGCTCCAATAGTCGAGCTTTTCTATAAACTGTTTGAATATATAAATGGGAATCTGGACTCGCGTGATATGAATATAGAGTATATAAAGAATAATCTTAAATTTCTATCACTGAAACACACAGTTATTGACTGTTTTCAGTGTTGAAATATTAAAATCCATCAATCATTGATTTCTTTGTGCGAAAGGATTGAAAACGCACGAATTTCTGAGTAATGTAAGAACTACTTAGATTATGAATATTCACATTACTATTTGCGGATTAAAAACAGATCTCGTTTCGAGGAATCGTACAATCCATTTTCGTTTCGCGATCGTACTACATAAAGAAGATGTCTAAATTGAAAACTCTCTCAATTATTTTTTTTCTAAATAAAACTTAATCCAAAAAATGAAAATTCCAAAATTCAAATAAAGAAAACATCAAGCGAGAGAGGAAACCGATAAAACACATATAAGTATTATACTACGTATAAAAGATGTATATGTTATAAAGACACGTATTTTTAATAAATCAACGTAATATTGCACAAAAATATAACCCAACGTATTTTATTAGACATTTGAAGTACAAACTAAATGACTGTAACAAGCATAGGATTTATTAAAAGTCTTTTCTTTCGCAACCCTTAAATTACATACTTATTAAATTAGAGGGGAAAAAGTAATTAGCCGTTAACAACGATAATTAACACCTTCTCTCTCTCTTTCTCACTTTTTCTTTTCTTTAATTTCGTTACTTACGAGAATTTATTGTTCATAAAAGTTTCTTCCTAGCAATTTTTATTTTATGACAAAAATATGATAATTCTTTTCAACTCGATTATGTTTCTAGTAATATTCAGAAATTGGTTTTACAAATCCAATGCCAATTTGATCATAATTATGCCATAAATTTTATCAACGAATTGACATTACTACTTATATAACGAAATATCGCTGCGCAGTATAAAAGAAGAAAAATAATATATTGCGTATCACATTTACATTGAATATTTTAGTGGCGCTTATAATTTAAAGATCGGGTAATATTCAGTTACGTTTCCGATATTCCATTTTACCGCAAAAATGATAAAAATATCATTTTCATGGCGCGCTTTATAATGTGCCGTCTTTTTCGCTAATGAATCTAAAAACGGAAGGAAAGAAAAACAAATGAAAAATAAATAAAAAAAATCTGGAGATATCCGATATTTTAAACGTAATAAGTTCTCGAGGGAGTGCGATGTAAAGGTTGCTTTAAATTAACTAGACGCGGACTTGATAGTTACAGTCACACAGCTTTTTAAATAAACTCAATTTTCTTCGCAATTATTTAATAATATTATCTAAAGTTTAAGAAACTATACGCCTTGGAAAAAAGTTGTTTTTTCTCTTTTCTTTGGCTGATTTCCAAATAGTAACTTTATCGTGAACGGAAAATCACAGAGCTATCTGCTTCTACTTTAAATATAAATTTTACATTGGCTATTTCACGGCCATTAATCAATAAACGGAACAAAGTGGTTTACAGTTCACACGTGCAAAATAAAGAAAACTCGAGGAATGATTATATTTAGGATTGTTTTTTACAAAGAATATAGTGTCTTATAATATAAAAAAATCTTTGCAACTGGAAAATAAAAATATATTTAAAAAAACTTTTTTAAACGAAATATTGCTTGCGTTCATACGGAGTATGAGAAAATATCATTTTGTTCCAAATCTGTTTGTTATTAAATTCATTATTCCGGTGAATCGTGAAGCTGTATACTTATAGTTGAAAAGAGTGGAGAAGAGCTTATGTCTTTTCTTCTAAGGATGTCTGCTTCTTTCAAAGAAAAGCATCTTACAAATCCTCTTTCCATCCAATAGCGCAAAATTCTTTATCTCTAACGTAAGACAAACTTATGATAACATTATTATAAAATTAAATATACATATTTACATTTTATAAATAAAGACAAATATATGTGCGTTATACTTTATATAAACACGGCAACGAGGTTTCTATAACTTTGCTGTTGCTCGCTAAAGACTGGACATTCACTCCGCGGTGAAAGAGTTACGTCATTTTGTGACAGCGAAGTGTGCGAGGAGTTCGCGATCTGGTTTCCTTTTGAGAATCGGCGAAACTGAACGCGGCAAGAGCACAGAGCACAAAAGCCGCACTTCGTGCAGCCGCATTATGCAGCGCTAATGATAGCTCGTCCGTCGCATTCTCCTGCTTACTCTTTGGCCATATATAGGGGGGGCAACAAGTGAGTGAGTGGAGAGTACGAACGGACGGTGGAAAGTTACACTAAAGTTGCCAACTTCCCGGGACACAACCTTGTCGATATTAGTAGTAGCAAAGTTGCCCGCCAACAAACTGTCGTAACTAGTACGAGTTTTCCAAAGATTTACCGAACCGGCCGATCCTTCGGACACAAAACCACTCTCGTTCGTGCGTTTTGTTTGAAATCGTTAAACTTTCATCGAACTACAGAAATTTCTTGCGCGTAAATATGAAAATAGTTGTGAAGCGCTTAACAGAAAAAAAATTAAGTTGCTTTATTCTTTGTTTTGAAACCGAATTCTTTAAACAAACATTTTCACACAGTATTCGTTTCCGCAAAATGATCAGTTAGAAGCGAGATTTAAATAAAGATGTATGTAAAATAATGTGTTAAGATTTACATTTTTGTCTATTCTATTTAGCACGGTTTATAGCTCTAGTCTGATACATAATATTAGTTTAATATTTACCTTACATGTAAATTAAAGAATTTTGCGACATTTTCCATGCTGATCTTTCCGGAAACCTTGCAGACAAGTATTTCTGTCCTGAACACCTTCAAGAATGCTCTCTATTCTGACATTTTTTACGTCGTCCTGCTCATAAGCTATAGATGCAGTCACCAATATCACAATTATCAAAATCTTTATGAGAAATTTCATTTTTATTAACATAACACACGGAAAATGATAAAAAAACGGTTACTAAATAACGATTTAGTTATCGTTTATGTTTATATTATTTTAGTTATTTCAAATGTTTTACTTTTTTAAATCTTATTTTTCGTAATTTTATTTATTTTGTATTCTTTGAATTTTCGTTATTTCCTTAATACGTTCAAACTTGTTGAGTCTTAGCGGGAATACATTCTGTAGTTTGCTTGTGACAGACTCGATATTTATATTCTCTTGAATACGCCTTGAGCGACACCGGTTATCCATGAAATTCAAATTTTATTCTTATTTCTGAGAAGCGAGAAACCTGTTATAAAGATGTTTGGTCGCGCAAACAAGTACATAACGAATGAGTCAACGTAAAAGATATTAAGAGATTAAAAAATAAAAAAATTTTCATGCCACAATAAAATTGCAGGAAAAACCCAAGTGTATGCAATAATTAAAAGATGACGTTTGAAAACAAAAATGTAGAGAAACATATTTGATATTAACTTGAGCATGCATATTAAAAATAATTACTTGATTTTTGTTGTTTTTGATATAATTACATATGTTAAATGATTTTACGACACTTTCCGTAATGATCTTTTCTCTGACCTTCTGGACATGATGTTAATAAAGAAACCCATGGTGTTAAAATAACCCATCTGTCCGCGGAACAGAGATCACACTTATAAGTAATATCGAATTTTCTGATAGTGATGTTTCACAAGCCTTGGGTGGAATTATAATAGTCATTGATATGACGATTATTAACAAAATATTTATAAATTTCATCTTAGGATTAATAAGTTCTTGCAAAAATTGTTTTGTGAATAAGAAAAACAGATCAAGTTCAAGTTGTTTTGATTTTTATAAATAATATAAATAACGTTGCACAATCTTCAGAATTCTTTTCTAAATTTAAATATTTCTTTACAATTTTTGTCAAAATATATAAACACAATTTTTGTCAAAATTGTGTTTATATATGTCTTTTAAATTTCGCAGATTTTAGTTGCCGGCGCTATGTTTAGCTATTTGATCCCAACGTAAAATCGAACTGTCTTTGTGACGTCCACTACCAGTCGTATTTATATATTAGCCTGATTACGTAAGCACGCAAAAAATGGTTATAACAAAATCAACAGACGTATAGATGCGACAAGCTATGGTCGTTATAAACATTTAATTACATTCAATTACATTATTACATTACCAATACCTGGTAATATGACTATACTTTTATAAATTGCTTAGATATTGCCAAATCTTGCTGAACAAATTGTATTTATACTTAATGAAGTTAATGTTACAGAAAGTTAGTTTTCAGAAAGAAAACTGTTGCATAAAAAAAAATAAAGATTGGCTTTCAACGATAAAATTTTGCTTTTCAAACCAACAAATATTTGACTTTTGCCGACGAATAGTTCCAATTTTAATACCGAAACAGAATATAGGACTTTTAAAAAACAAGTCCAATTTAATTTCTAGACTGAAAATAAAAGTTGACTCGTGGAGAAACCTTGATTTTTTAAATCAACATCTAGCTTTAAATATAAAATTTGATTTGCAGATATATTTATACATGCAAATATATTTCTATAGTATCATAAATTAGCGTAGTAAAGAATGTCTCAAGAGTGAAGAAAAAAAGTTTTTTTATCATGTTTTAGAGGAAATAGATTTTTTTTAGAAAATTGAGATTTGAAAGCTTGTTTTAAAAAGTATAGCTTGTAGGTGTAAGAAAAAAGATATCAGATAATCTCTCTTTCTTTCTCTCTCTCTCTCTCTCTCTCTCTCTCTCTCTCTCTCTCTCTCTTTCTCTTTCAGAATGAAAAAATTTGAATCTGTATGAAGTCGAACAATATTGAATTTTTATACGAGTATAGCTTTTAGGCTGGGCAAACAGATCCAACATTTAATTCTAGAATGCACAAAAAATTGATCATCATCTTTAAAACCCATCAATATAAATATATATTTTCGTTATTGTCTAAGTACAAAAAATACGAGCTATTTTCTTAGAATATTTTTACAAAAAATGACAATGAATAATTCTAAATATTAGATACTGCACATACGTGTAAAAAATGTAGCATCTTAAAAATGTTATTTCGGATTGTGACAAAGTGAAAATACTAAACGCTTTATATATATATATATATATATATATATATATATAACTAACATTTATTAAATAACATTAATTTTATTATTCTATATATATATATATATATATATAACATATTAACAATATTTTTATTCCTACATTGGCAGTCAAATATTTTTCAATTTCAATCATTCAAAGACCACTAACTGTCACTCGGAAGGTAAAGACTGCAATTAAAAAAACAAATAAACTAATTGTGCTTACACAATGTTACTCAATAACTTCTCTGTACACTCCGTTTTTATCGCGACGATATATTGTTCCGTCTTTTTTAATCTCATCGGGTTGACTTGGCGGATTGATTATGTTCCTCTTAAACCGACTTTTGCTCTCGCCTTTTGTGACAATCGGCATCTTCGTCGACGAAATGGCATCGATCTGCAATTTGCTTGGGACGATTTCTTTCACTTTTTCAATGTCAGTCAGCTTATTTTCAGCCATTACAACACTTCTGCTGATTTTCGAATTTTTTTAACGATTTTCGATAATTCTATTTTTTCCTCTACTTTGCCGTCAGACCCGCGATGAATCACTGTCTTCTTAATTGATTTTCTAGAATCGTTCGTCGCGCCTGAATATTGAATCTGAATAACATAAGGACAATTTTTGGTTATGATATTAAAGTAGTTTCTTTGAATTTTATGAGCTATTTTAATGTCGTAAACATACTCTAAAATTGTCAATGTGTTATCAAGTATCCAGTTTGCTTTAGTTTTCTATTGCAAAAGATCATCAATATGATCTCTTGCATAACTCAGCCGTCATTTATTATTTATTTAAAAATTCCAAAAAGAGCAAAGTTTACTTACTAAAACAAACTTTGTAAACGCGCATATAGTCACTTGAAAGATTCTGCTTGGTGATATTTGTACGATTGCGACGCAGTAAAAAGAACAAGTATTTATATATATATATCTACAATATATACTGGCACGTGGATATGTTATCTTTTGACAAACACAAATTATCACATTTTTCACGTCATCTTTTTCTTTTTATTCGTTCGATACTCGGTACGCCGGTCTTATCGTTATCAATTGATGTGTCAGACGTTATCACGATGAGTTCCCTCATCATTACATTTCATTCGAAGTGGATTCCGAACGGATTAGAAGTGTTCGCGCGCGTTTCTTCAGCTTGAACGACTAAGCACTCTTGAAGACTATTGCGGGACGAAAGGCAAACGTTCCTGCTGTTATCGTCGCGCAAAAGTCAATTCGAGCTACAGACCGTGGCCGTGAAGAACGGAACGCTGTTGCAATGAGTTAGACTTTCGAAATTGCAGCTGTCGCGTAGCGGTGAATAGCGTTACAGACAAATAGAGAAGAGCATGCCGATCGATTACTAAAGATTCCGCTTTAATCTTCTAGTGGGAAGTGGCGAAATCTCACGGACTTTCATTCGCCAAGTACACATACATATACGAAGCGTTTCACATCTGCGAGAGAAAAATAGTTCGGTTACCGAGCGATTAAAGTGTACGGTTAAATAAAACGCGCGCGTGCATTGCACCTAACCCACTTTTTGTGAGAACTCAAGAAAATCAATCTAAATTTACTGCTTTGTCATTTACTTTGTAAGATTAACTTTCTCAAAGTTTGAAGAAAAGCAGAACCGCCATTGCCGCGAATTCTTCTATTAAGAAGTGATTATTGATTTGTTTAATATATTTCTCTTTTTAAAACAATTGGAAAACTGGAGGAAGCAAATTTTTTCACAAACAGAAATAACTTGGAATAGGTTACATGTAAAAAAAACCTTATTCCTAGAAAGATAATGGTGACAAAATTTTTACAAATAGAAGTAACGTCATATTCACATCATGACGTGAGAAGTGAGAAATTATATCAAATACATCCACATAGAACAAAAAAGTTATTAAATATTCATTAAGAGACGTTTATTAACTTTATGCGATATCTAATGGACGTCTGATGAGGTTTCTGTGAAGTTTTGTGTTGACATTGCGATTCACATCGAAGTAAACTAGATGTTTTACATCCCACCTCTGATAGGAGAGACCGGGGGTTAGAAGTTATACGGGTTAGTTGTCACACATAGCTTATATCTCGCTTACTAAAGGGGAATATTCTGTTCTATAATGTAGGTTGCTACTATTGTGTTAGGTGCGTGTATACGAAATAGCTTTGGTAGAAAAAACATGGCATGTGACATTTACGAGCAGTTTCTAAAATTTGAAAGCGACAGTTTTATAATTAACTTGTTAACGCATTACACACAGATATAAGACCGAAGATATCGAGTGTTAGAATTAAAAATGAAAAAGATGTCATTTTAAAAGTTTTTTATATGTTGAAAATTTTGAAAGAAAATAATTGATATTTAACGGAAATTTTATCTGAGCAAAGTGTGATGTTTTCACAAGAGAACACATTGCACATTTTACGTGTCTTTTGGAAATGTTCCTCCCATTTAAGTTTGTGTCACTTGCGCCAAAAACTGACATCTCGCCCTATTCGAGTTTTACGCAAATAATCTCATTAAATAATTTCAAACGTGCCACTTTTCTTTTGAAGAGTGTAATCAAATTACCACGTGGCAACGCAAATGTTCCCTGTCGAGACCGAATGTAAAGTAAATTCCGGCTGGTTGAAAGTACCTCGGCGAAGAATGGAACGTGGTTACAATGGGCTACAATTAGGCTATCGAAATGGAGAAAATTCCTGAGAAAATGTCATTGAATCGTTGCGCTGTGCGCGAACTATAGAGACGACACATCTTGCTAGATCGATATTGTGACGCAAAAATGACCGATTTTAGTTTTGAGCTGCCAAAGCAGAACATTGAAACTGTTTTGTATTCACAAATATAGAATATGTATATTCATCCTTTAAATCGCTGAATAACGGAGTTTGTCCTCGAAAATGTTGAAACAATGATTATTACAGATTATGGAATAAATGGAACTTTTAAATAAGTTTGATTATATTCTGTACTTTAATAAGAGTTTATTGAAAGTAACGTAAATCACATTTTACGACATAATGAGATCAAATCTCAAGTGTCGAGATAAAGTTTGTCGGACTCTTT